CCCCCCCCACCCAGACCCGATATACCGCAGCACCCCGTGGACGTGGACGTTAACGGCGAACCACCCCCGTGCCCGCTCGCGATTTCCCACCTGCTCGGCGACGGCTCTCTCTCAACCGTCGCATATTACCGCGCCGACACGACTCATCTTGGAATTTTTCCTTCGGCGATGATCGAACCTCGTCGTAGGTCCGGTTGGATGGTGAGGTGAGCAGCGCCCGTCGTTTCGGCGCAAGGAAACACGACTACACACTTTCGAACGGCCACCTGGTAGGCGGGGCTTGAACGGAAGAGCCGTCGACCAATCGCGTCGCGCGCAACCGGATAACGCCGACAGTCGGGACCAAGGACGACCTCGCCGTCCTCGCGCGGTGACGGCCAACGATCGACTGCCCCTGCCCGCCGGCTTTTCCCGTCCCGCGACGCGTACCGGCGCCGCCACCTGTCGGCGCGCCGCCGACCTAGCTCTCCTCGCCGACTTCGCGGCGCTCACCGTCGTCGTAACGGCGCGTTTGCACGAGAGAATCCGGCGCGGGATTTCTCGTGTTTCTCGCCGCGGAATATTCCCCCTCGCACAAACACCCGATAACGTTTGTTTAATTACTTCGTCGCACAGTGAGATGCTGCGTTAATAACGAGATCTGATGGCGGAGAAGAACAAATGCACGCTCACAGCTGCGGAGTTTATTCGGCGCGCGTGACTGGGCTGCTGCTCTCGCGCGAACGTTGAACGCGAAGTTAGCCATTAATATTGATTAATATTAAAAGACGATGTTTCGATATTAAAATCATGAAAATATCAGCGAAATCGATTTTTTTTATGCGACGAAGCAATTTTTCGTAAATTTTTTTTTAGATTCTAGCAAATTACGTAAAATTTGTTAAATATCTCCTAGCTAGGGATTTTTCGAACGAACCGCAGTCGCGTTGGCATCACTGCCACCTTGACGTAACGTAGGAGCTGGTAGGAGCCTGCTGTGTTGTTACGTCTTGATCTGATGGCAAAATAATAAAATTATCTCGTGATTCTTCGAAACCTGCTTCGAGATGCTGCGAATGGTGGGCTGTGTTGCAAATATAGGTCTTATGGTACACTTGAATGTGATGATAGCCACCGATTGGTGGTATGGGCAGAGAGATCTGTTCGGTCCATATCCCAGAATACCAGACAAGGACAGGCTGAAGGTAACCTTTGCGATTGTTGTAATCTGAAGCTCCTAAGTTCACGTCACTCTTCGCCGGAGTTTAGTCGATTTAAGTCAAAAACTTCAGGATTATTTCATTTGAAATTAAAATCTGTCGATATTAATTGTCAGATGAAATCGCCGTGTTAGTCATTTAAGTGCTTCCGGCATTAGCGACCAAGTCACGATTTGTTGTTTATTGTTACAGAGAGAAATTGAGTTCGCAAAGGAATGCAGGGAGTTTATCAAGCCGCCTAAAGCCTGTGTCTAGTCTGGATCCGAGGTTAAGGGAACTTCGTTAACTCCAATTGTACAATTGTAGTGAATATGTATGAATATGCGTTCCCAGAGGAAGATGTAGAAATAAATGTTACATTAATTTATAATAATGTTGCTTGTGTTTTAAATTAGGTTTTAAGAAACTGTAAAGAACCTTACAAACAAAATCCTTTTTATATACTTGATGCCGCAATATTATTGCTTAAATAAATCAATTTCCTGCGACAGTTATGATTTGAAATAGTACAATACCATCGAGGGAGATTTTTTATGCTTCAGTGTTTCGGGTGTTTCCCTTGAGAAATACCAATAATTATTATATTGATTATTAAATTTTCAGTTTTTGTTTGTAGGGCGACACAAAATCGAAAGGTAACTTGATATTTGCGAAAAAACAATTCTAATATTTTACTCACAAAAAATATTCTTGTGCAATCTTAACGGTTCGACGTAGGGGGAAGGGGGGGGTTAAAATCGTGATATTCTAAAGTGTTTCAGGTTGCGAATTTTTTAATTTAATAATCTGGTTACTTTACATGAAAAATATTACAAAGGCAGAGAGAAGCCTGAGAGAGTTCTTTTTCCCGGCCTTTTTCGTGGGACTGTCGAAAGCCCCTGTACACTACCGCCAGTACATCCATTTTCGAAATTGGTATACTACGTAGCCACGTTCATTTTCCGACCTATCGATAAAACATCATTTTGGTGCGCGTCCGTGCTACATCTCCGAAATGTAATATATGATACATATTACAATATTATTTAACTAATGCTTGCATGAACATCCAAAAAAAGCGATTATTCGAAGTCAGAGTGTTACGGTTAAAGTGTGTTACAATATAGGCTGTGTTCCTTTATTCACTGCCAGTACTGAAAGTCTATAGTTACGTAACGCAAACTATATATTTTCAGCACTGCCAGTAAAAAAGAAACACGGGGCTAATGTATGTACAAGTATATGCGTCAGTTTTTCTTCTATACATGATCATTTACGGTGTGTTATGATTAGAATCGTATCCGCCTTCGGCTCGTGCGTAAACTCCGCACCCGGGAATTTTCATCTTTACGCACGGCTTACACACCCTATTTTATGTTGCAAGTGCCTGGAAAGTGGTCTATCACACACGCGTAGCGTGCGTAATGGGGCACTTTCCATGCACGTGTTGCATTTTCTTAACTACTTAACTAGTGGCCGGATCGCCCCTAGTTAGTGGAAGAGTACCAATTCAATTTCGAAAATGGATATACTGGCGCTAATGTACAGGAGCTTTCGAACGGTCCCGTGAAAAAGACCGGGATGGCTTCTCTCCAGGCTTCTCTCTGCAAAGGATGGAATCCGATGGAATAAAAGGAGGGTCACATGGCCCCGGCGACAGATGGAATAATTTCAGAGGCAAGTAGTTTCGGATAAGTTTATTAGAGTCCCTGGATTTACCTTCCCCTGAGGCAGCTTATCCCAATAAGAAAGCCATCCTTTTCTACCCCCTCGCTCAAACGGTACGCACCGTCTTGATACATCGCAAGGTTTCACTTTCACTTTCCCTCTCGCTATATTCCATTTTTTTTTTTAAGAGCACCCTTCGGATATGGTACGTTGATCGCAAAACGAGGAACGAGAGAAGTGCGCGAAAACGGACCGCGGGTAAGGAAGTTGCGAAATTAAAGGAATTGTCATATCGAACGTGTGACTCGTTTACTTTGTTCTTAGGACGCCAACCGTAAAAACTTCGATACTTTACAGACTCGCTAGAGGCACGATAGCGGCTGCCTGATCGCCCGAGTGTTTATAAAGACTCGTTCTCGCGTTTCCGGATTGATTCTACCAACCTTGAGTTATAACAGGCTTTTCTTATAATTAACTAAATTACGTCCATTATACTATGCATATTGTTCTACGTACTACGCTATTATCTAAAACGAAACAATCACTTGCTATTACAGAGAATTGAATAACGTTGATAGAATCGTCTCTACAAAATTCGACGAGATTTTTCGAAGATCTTCGGATACCGAGCAAGATGCAGCCGCTACGATTCCTCCTCGCGATGCGAACAACTTTACCATAGGCAACGTGATATTTTTTTAAAAACATTTACAATGCGGAAGTATATACGACGAAGTAACGCAACGCAATAAAGTAGTCGTAAAGTTCAGCGGCCGTCTCTCTCTCTCTCTCTCTCTGTCTCCGTCTGTCGTTTTTAATATGCTAACACGATGGAAACGAAACGTGTATATTGAAACACTTCACAACGATATTTTTCCCCTTTTATGTACAATTATCCCAAGAAGATCGGAATACGTCTATTTTCTGTTTTCACTTTTCTATTACACTTTTGTCACAACAAAAGCGTACCTGAAAAATGGAAAATAAGAAGTGACAAGCTATTCCGTCCCTTTTCGAAGAGTGTTTCCTCAGGCAAAAATCGTTCTGAAAACGAATTGGGCTGTGGAAACATTCTCTCATCCGCTTTACTTCTCGCTCAAGCCGTTTTATTACCTGCACATACGTTTACTTGTGTGAGACAAAAGAAGAGAATGACAGTCAGAAAAAACACGGCACAGCGCATTGTAACACATGGAGGCAAAAACATGTTGGAACATTGAAATTTTTATAGGGGGAGGGGGTAATTTTGATGGGATAATGAACATTCGGAAAATCACCGCTCCGTGGCTGTCTCTCGGGATTTCTTCTCGAGATATTTCCCACGTTTCTTCTAGATGTTCGGTGAAATAGCATTTGCAACAAAGCTGATATAGACAATTTATAATACAACGATAAACAGTCTGTGTATATTTGCAACAAGATATCTTTCCTTAAGCATAATTTCTCCGAACTGCATGCTCTTTGCCCAAAGAACCTTTTAATTTCGAGTTCTTTTTCTTCAGCAAATATATCGTAACCCTTCAATACCCTCAACGTCATATATTTTCGTAAGTTTTAAATTAAAATCTTATTCAAGCAAAACTACTTATAATTAATTGAAAAATATGAAGAACACAAGAAATGTATTATCTCCTTGATTTTCAGTTCCTTGTAAAAACTAGATTGCTTTTGTAAAAACAAAATAAATTTTAGCTTGATTGAGAAATTTGCAGTTTAAAGGAAACGCGCTTAGCATGAGAAGGGACATCCTGTATAATAATATAATATGACTCTTAAAATATAATTTGTGTGGTGAAAATGGGCGGAAAAGTACGTTTTTCTCTGAGTTTTAGATATGTTTTAGAATAGATTCAAATCACTCGAGGAAAGATAAAGTGAAAGTGATGATGGTTCAGAATAATTATTTTTCGATCGAGCGGGTGAGACAGCAACACGGATCGCGATCATGACCATGTATATGTATATGTATATATAATGTATATACACACTTGTAAATATGTATATAATATGTGCAGTCGTATGTGCAATATATTCTGTGATTACACGATCGAGATGCGATAATATCTTACACGTGCGTGTGTACTGTCGATGCGAAAAAGAAAAGAAAAATTAGATTACAGAGGGTGTTTTTCGGTTGGGCAACGGCGAACAGACGCTTCGTTCGGTGTCGACGTAACGACGCGAGTGTGACTCGCTATCATGACGATGATGATGACGACGATTGAATGAACAAGGTTCGCACTAACGATCTCTCCCTCGTCTCCCGCCGAGTCGGAAACCTCGAGGTCTCCGACCGGGCCGAAATAATTGTGATCGCGCGAGCAAATAATGTCGGTCGATATCCGAGTAACAAGAATTCTATTTCGTTATATTGCGTTCGCTTACGCAATAGAGAATATTATTGAAGAGGCGAATGAATAAGGAAGAAAAAACGCGTTTATTTATCATCTTTCGAGACAATTATTTATAGCGTTCGCTTTGAAATTCGAACGTTTTTAGATTTTTTAGAAGACGAGTATCTTCGTATATTTTTGAATATCTTTTTTTATCTCGATGTCTTCATTCACTCACCCCCTTGTCACACTGTATATGTATCATATACAGCGTGTATCAACGTTTTATTACTCGAATAAAGACCAGCAACAAATCACAGTTAGTCAAACGAATGCTGTACACGTGCCGGATTTCCACCCCGCGTGATTCCGTCACGCCGTATATGTATACGCCATATGTATACAACTGTATATCTAGCTACGACTTAAAATTAATAGTATTTAAACTCTGTCTCTCTCTGATATAATAATGCGATGATATGGCACGTGGTGTGTGTGTATGCATGTGCGATGAGATTCAACGATGATATATAACTCTAATAGGTCCCTCTCTCGATCGTCTCTTTTCTCTATCTCCCTCGTCCATTCGACTACAATGTTTCCCCATTATTACCTAACTAATCACTCGGGCATTAGCCTCTCTCTCTCTCTCTCTCTCTCTCTCTCTCTCTCTCTCTCTCTCGCTCTGATTCCACATTATGTACCACACTTCTCTCTGGAATCCAACCGTATATACCTACACTCGATTACTCTCTAAATATATGTATACGAACTCATTGAATATATAAATGTAAATAATAAACAGGCGGGACCGTGTTCTCGCGGCGCAATCAGCGCTTGGAAATACAGTTGCCCGAGTTTTAATTTTTATTTGTCTAATACACACACGAAGGTCGCCTTTTTAACGTCAACATGACGCGAGAGAGTCTCAGACAATCGTACTTACGCTGAATATACGCCGTCAGAACACGGACCTCGACATTGGCCATACGACAGCTAGGATCTCTCACGTTTAGCATTAACACGAAAACGGTTAACGAATTCATCGTTAGAATCGACAGCTCCTCAACGTATACGAAATAGAATTTTCTTATAACCCAAGGAAGAGATTTTATATATCTTTAACTTTTTTTATTCGCTAACTACGTGCGGCACGATATTTAATGGATGATGCGCGATATATCCTTAAAACGAGGCAAGTCGTACTGTATATATGGATCTCTAATATCTAGTTGAACGGTGCGATTGATGCGAGCCGACATCCTCCGTGAAAATCGCGTCTCACTATGCATTGATGTCACCAGGATTGTCAGGATTGTCAGGAGAGGCAACGCGCGCTTGCCCGAGCCGCACGATCGCCGTCCGATACGACGGATTGTCGTCGAATCGAGCGAATCGATCAGTGGGACAATACTGGTAATTTGTCCGCGACGATGATGATAATGATCGACGATGACAATGATCCGTTTTTCAGAGATGAGAAGCGTAACGACGGCGCGTGCGTTCGGAGCTTCGATCGTGTGAATGTGGACTATGTGGAGTCACACAAGCGCTATTCCGCACGAATGTGGGTGTGTGAGTGTGTGTTTGTGTGTATGCGATGTGTATTTTGTGTTGTATATGGCATTATTTACATATATGTGCGTCCGGTTCGCTGGAGAACAACGCGTCGGCGCGAGTGAACAAACGAAACGTTAATTATCGATGAAGATTCGGTACTCTAGGATTCTACGCAGATAAATCCTCTTTGTGTTGAATGTGCGTGTTTCATACTCGGATACAATTGCTTTGGGTCATCTTTGCACGCTCGCGGCCTGCGTAACGGCGACGTGTCATCGAAATCTCTCTCCCTCTTTCGTTTCCATTCTCCCTTGCTCGAAAAATTTTCTCGACAATAACGGCGCTTTCCGTGGGACGACGAAGCTTGCTTCTTCTCTTCTCGCTCGTTAGTCGTAATTACCTAATAAATCACGCTGGTGATACGCGCAAAAGTTACGCGTTCCGCGTTTTCGCGCGAGTTTTCATCGTGCCTCCTCTCGCGCCCTATTACGAGTTTACTCTTAATACGCTTTTACTTACGAAACACAAACATCCCGTCTTGTTTTATATATTTATTAGGTACATTACATATGTGTCAATACGATTCTCAAGCATAGTATTGTCAACAGTTGTGTATATCTTTTTTTTTCTCCTTAGTTTCCCTTTGTTACGTGATCTCTCTCTCTCTTCCCCCTGCTAAAAAAATGTATATCTCGCTTACTTAGCGGTCTGGAGTCTGCCTTGAATTTCTGATCGTGATTCTCTACACTTTCATCGGCGACCGGACGCAAAAGTTTGCGGCGATCCCTTGGGGATTTCCCTTCGATACAAACGAGAGATAATCCGAGATACTTTACTTTGAATATTTTTTTTACGCTTGAAAGGAACTGTGAAGCAATGATGGATCGATTTAGAGATGATTCAGAATCATTCCAAAAAATTAATCATAAACTTATTTATTTAAAATTGTAATTGTATTTATTTCACTCAGAGAGGACTAAGAGTGATGTAAAACTATGAAAAATATGTTTTAGGTAAGGCTTAAAAACTCGTAAAATTATAGTATATGCTAAACTAAACATATATGGTTTAATCGTAAATTACGTAATTTATTTCAGAGCTTTACTTTTTCGAGTGGATTCTTTTTTATCAGCACCGTGTCATGTGTAATCGTTCACTGAATTTCCGAATTTTTGTCGTTATACACTACATACTTTTGCGTCCTGTAATTTCGCGTCAATATCTCCTTGCAGCTGGTAATATCGTGGCTGAAGAGTTACGATTTGTCAATGCGGTACACAGGATGTTCCAAGTTTCGCCCATCTACGGATTCTCCGATCAATTTCGAGTATTCTTCCTTAAACGAAAAGTGTCAAGGCAGCGATAAGTTTTAAACTGTAACGTGATAAAAAGTCTAAGAATTTCAACGAGCAGTAGAGATGACGGACCTTCTTTATTTAATTCGAAGGAAATTTTACTTTCACGGTATTTTTATTTACGGCTTAGACGTATTTAACATTAGAAAGTTGTGAAAAAGGATAAAACTTTCGTTAAGGAGAAATCAACTGCGAATTGGCCACAGAATCGATAGATGAAGGGAAGTGGAGGCGAATCTGGATCACTCTGTACGTAATATATATATATATATATAATCTCTCTTTCTTTTACTCTCATTATTGCGACGAGACTCCTCGGACGTTTACAGAGAATAGAAATATGGGAATGTATTTAAAGAAGAAAAATACTGTTGCTATGTTTAGGATCGGTGTAATGTCGTAGTCATCTATCTTTGTTATCTGTTTCCAATTTTTCTGTACAATTTCCATTTTCCGCGCAGGTACACGAACTCCGTCTGCAGGTCTTGCCTCGTACGTGTACGTGTATATGTTTCTTGTGCGTGTAAGGTGTAGCGTGTCAATGTCCTCTTTAAGGGGTAATTATCACAGAATACACGAGATATTTTCATTAAGCTTACAAGATATTAATCGAAGCGGAGAGTAGGAGGAAAAATTGGCGGCCGACCCCGTCGACGGTCGCGGGTGGTTGCGGGTGGATCTGCGATCGGGGGGGAACGAGTGCCGAAGTAATCGTCTGGGTGTGCTGCCCCGTCGACGTGGCCGATCTGAGTGCCGAATTCGCCAGCCCTTTCGTATTAAGTAATGTACTTAGTGTTAGGCAGCGGAGAAAATAGACACTTTTATAAATGAAGATGGTGGCGAGATCGCGGACCCGTGTTTTTCTTTCCTATCAGCTTGAATTTTCCCGATAACCGTCAACGACATATGCAGATGCAGGTGCTTCGTAAATCGGTCACCGAATTGAAGTTAAAAAAAACTTCCAACAGAATTGTAATACAATTTCGAACATCTTATATCATTGGCTAAAGATATTTTGAAGAATTCGATACCGTAACAATCTGTCCCACTTTTCTTTTAAAAAATACTTAAACAAATTAATCTAAACTTAGCGAATATAAATTATTAATTTATAATCGATTAAAGTTACTTTATATTTCTTAATGTTAAGATTAATTCTCTCAGATTCTTAAAGAGGCGAGCTCGATCACTGTTATGTGGAATTCTTTAATTCACGGCCTAATGCTTCGACGTGTACTCAAATTTGGTAAGCACCTGCAGCTGACAATGAGATAATCGGACGTTCATTATTTAGATGGCTCTCGTCTCTCTTTTTCTCTATCTGCCGATCGAAAATCCCGCGCTCGCAGCTACATCAGCAGTTTTAGACACTATACACAATACGTAAGTATAATCTAGACGTACTACGTAGTAGAAACTTTTGAATATAATAGCGTAATCTCCGGAGTTGTGTTGTACTTGCCCCGCCCGACTCTGCAGCCCTGGGCTGGACGATGACTGGATTCATCGGATACGAGGTCGCGTGCCTTCGAGTTTCTCTCACGGAGGGATCCGACCGAAGCTTCGTGCGATCGTAGCGGATGATAGCGAAGAGGGGTTCTCTCTACCCACCTTTTCGGCGCGATACGTGTTCCTGATAAAAAGAGATCGGCGAAAACGCGGTGGATGCGTTTCTACGGACGGGCGAACGTCCGCTATGCACACGAGGTAAGATGTACAAGATGCGGATGAAGCTAATAGACGGTAGAGGTAGTTATACTAATAACAGTAGCTTTAACGTCCAGTGCCTCACGTCACATTCCGAGATAGGCGTAAAAAAACAGCGATAGCTAAAGAGAGAGAATCAAAAGCTACGATATAATTACTTGCGCGCGCGCTACAAGATTACAAGTAGCCGTCGAAGTTCACGGATACATTACTCGAATAGCTCGGGTATTACCTAACTTTGATAATATCCAGTAATCGGTCACACTCAGATAATATTCAAAGTACCCAGGGTATCCGAGTACCGACAGCACTTATTTACAGGAGTGTAAAGTTCAATTTTGTAGACTCGTTCGCTCGCCAGTTCGTAGACCGAGGATTCGCGTTCGCAGCGTGTCGGGGGCGTATCGCTGGTTACGTTAATGCGCGACTTCCGGAGGCGCGAAGGGATGTTTCGCTCGTACATCTTTCGCTCGGCAACGGTCTGGAATCGGTACGCTGCTCTCGCGTAGCTCTCGAAGCTTTCGGGCGGATCACGGCATCATTCATTCGCAACAGCAGCAACAGCATCAGCAACAGTCAGACTCTTACGATCATTTCTGGTATAATCTTACGAATAAGAACGTACTTTACAATTACAATGCCTTACTAACTTTTATCTGTTTTTTTTTTTTATTACTAATGGCACGTCGCTACGTGACGTCACAGGACGTGCCTATTTGGTCGTACGCAATGCTACATTTAAACTGTATATTTAGAAAAAACTTCTTCGTCTCAACAATGTTTTCACGTATCTACAGTAAACTCATCCTCCCGAACAAACGGCCTAAAAACGACGCGGTCGTATTGCGCGCGCACGTGTGTAAACGTACATGGAGTGTTATGCGTACGTGCGTGGTATGTAATCTTTATATATACGATTCCGGGTGTATTTTCGACTTCGCCCTTTGTTTACAGCACATGCAGCCGCGTCGCGATCAAGGACCCCACCATACGTGGACTCGCTCTTCGTCCTCTTCCATTTCGAAGTCAGTCTTTCGGCGAACGGCGGCGCGTCCGATCGAGAGAGTCTCTGTCGCCTTTTGCGCGAAGCACCTGTACTTGAGTTTGTTCGCGGTGTTGATCTCTCGTTCTATCTTACATTACGAATATTACCAAATATATTGCGTACTGGCAGCACTGTTTTCACGTTTCGCGTTTTTTGTCTAGCGAACACTCTCTCCTTCGTATCTCCATCTCTCCCTGCGTCTCGCCTGCGACACCCGCACGAAGAAGAGTCCGATCTGTCTCTTGTCTCATAGTAGTACCGGAGCATCACTCATTGTCGTCGTTATCGCGAGCTCTGCTTTGTCGATTATTTTAATTCTCTATAAATCCAGGCGGGAGGAATAGCTCTTTTTTCATTATTGTAGTAGTACGCAGGACGAACGCCGAGCCACGCGGGGTTGACCTAGCTCGTCGTCCTATCTCGAGATCTGTGGAAGATGGTGGTTCCCGGTGCATCGTCGCTGTCCAGGGACGGGGTTGAAGCTCTGTGTGTATGTGTGTGTGTGTGTGAGAGAGTCTCGTAAAAAAGGGAGAGGAATTACGCTCGATTACGAACTCCACGGCGCGAGGGAAGCTGGAGAGAAGAAGTTTCACGGTAAATCGAATCCCGTCGCTAGGATTGTCCCTCCTTGAGTTGCGTGCCTCTCGGCGAAGAAGGGCGGAAGGGTTCGGGGCGATCGTTTTCGCCGGGTGAAATCGCGCGAATTACATCTCTCTCACGGAATCGTGAAAGGTTTTGTTCGCTTGTGGCACCGAAGGCATCAAAATGCTGACCCCCTTTGGACGGCCTCCTGCTTCTCCTCCTCCTTCTCTTCCTGCTCTTTTCTTCTCTTTCTCTTTCTTCTCCTCTTCGGGCTCTTTCCAAGCTCGAAGTACTCGAGTCGCTTCGCTATCGGCTTATTAACGCAACGTCGTGTCTCCTCAAGTAGGATTCGGTAGCGGTGCCTCCTGCCTGATGTCACTCTTCAGCTTCACGAATTCCTTGGCAATCTCGTCGTTGTTGCGCTGCGATAGGATGCGCAAGATCGTGTAGCCAGTCTCGTCCATCTGGATACGCTTGCCGAGCGACAGCCAGCATGCGCACGAGCCCTCCTCGACGATGTCCTTGAGTTGCATCACCGCGACTCCGACGAGCCTGTCCTCCCTCGCGAAGCAATAATCCTTTACGCAGATGTGCAATTCGTAGAAATCTAGCTGTTGTTGCTCGTTACCGATCATACTGAGGACAAAGACGAGGCAAGAATCAGAAAAATCTTAAATTTGTATCTGTGTAAATGTTAGTAATTACCGATAAATTAAATTTTGCGTCGTAACTTACAAGTCAAAGCTCTCATTAAATTGCGGCGACCAGTTATTGCTCTTTGATTTCGTCGATTGTTTCCTTTTCTTGCCAGTAAGATGCGGTCCGATTAGATTCACTTCAACGTACGGCCTGAACATGCCCGTTGCCAACTGCCACTTCAGATCGTTCGCGGCCACAACTAAAGAACAAAAGATTTTTTAAAATAAAATTATCGATGAGTAAATTAACAATTAGAATTATTAACTGTCAATGTTATATGATACAAATTTTACGAGATTGTAATCGTACCTTTGACGGTGACTTTCTGCTCTCCCGTTCCCGGATGTGTAAAGAGATCCACCTGGATGCTCACCTCGCCTACCGAACCTTCGTCCGAACCGGCGGTATCTGGAACTTCAAGAATTCGCAGTCAAAATTTACGCTCAAGCACGATGATCGTAAAAGCTAGAAATGGCATCTAAACACTACGCGGACTTCGTCTGATTCTATCTGATGCTATGATCTGAGACTAAGGCTAAGAGAGTTCTAGTTCTCGATTTCTATTTCTAGAGCAGATTACATGCTCTGATAATAGGCAGGTACTTGTTGTCAGCATAATTATCAGAGAAGACGAAGTCAGCCTCAGCGAAGTTTTCATGATTTGGTCACACGTGGTGTGTGTATCGGGAATTATAAATTTTCTGATTTCATCGGTTTTGCATTGAAAGAACAAATCATTTTCTTTTGTATTCGGAGAATTCTAGCGACAATCTCCGAAGTGCGTATGATACAAGTGTCCATGGTGCAGATGATCGATCGATTGATCAATTAATCTGTGAATCTTTTTTTTGGGCTTTTCCTTGAAATTTTCGAAGGAACAGCGCTAGATAACGACAAGTATGTCACGCGCTTGTAAGAAGATCGTGTATGGTGACTGGTGGTTAAATGACAAAGTTTTCTTGATACGTATGTGTCAGAAGCGTTGTACTGAAAAAACATGAGACCGAAGGAGGCAGTTTGCTGGTCGATAAAGTTCTCAGTAGTAGCAGCAAGAGTGGCGGCAGTAGCAGCAGCGGCAGTGATAACAGCACAGCTTCCTAACACAGCTATCGTTGTCGAGACGTTTTTGGAACATTCTTCTTCTTTAGGAATATAAAGACATGAACATAAAGATTTAAAAGAAATCTCTTATCGGCTTATTTATTCTTATTTATTAAACGGATATTTTCAAATTGCTAGTAAAAGAGTATATTGTGGAAAAGTGAAGAAGAAAATTTCGCATCGAAAGACGTCTCGACGGAACGATCACAGTTCACTACGGCCTAAAAGTCTCTCCGACACTTCCAGCGACCTTCTAAGGTCTGCTCTGGTGGTACCTTGTCGGCTCTCTCGACGAAGAGAGGGCTTGGTCTGGCGAAGGGGTTCCTCGAGGCTTTCCATACCCTCGGCTCCTTCCCCTTCGTCACCTCTCTCGCTGCTCATCGAACGCTGACGCTGACGTAGCGTTGACGCATCGTTCAGCGGCACTGTCCCGACAATTTTCATTACGTCGTAATGTGAGTGTAAACACGCACACGCCGATATATACCGACTTCTCGCGCGATAATTGCGCGACGGAACGTGTAATGTGTCGTTAGAATATATCGTTTATGCCTAACTAATTCATGTGTGTTTTTGATTAGTTTCGCTTTTATCGCGATTTTGTTCCGCAATTACGTAGTACAAGAAACATATATAAAAATAATAGTTATTATTACAGTTTATTAATTTGTAATGTGAATAATGAACTCCGAGCGACATACCTTGGTTGACTTGCGAGGTGACGAAGGTCTTGATGAGGGTGTCCGTCGTCTGCGTGTACAAGCTTAACGCATAACGGAGGCTCTGCAGTTCCGGTGATTTCTCCAGGAACGTCTTCTTCAAGCCGTTACCGCCGGCGTGGAAGTACTGTTTGATTGTGTCCAGAGCGGCCTCGAGAACCGCGCACTGCTTCGGCGAAAGATTCTTTTCCACTTCCTTGGAGATATCCTAAGCGGATATCATAAATTTAGATAATTCAAATCATTTTTGCGATTTGAATAATTTGTTCCAATTACCATAACTCCGCTGAGAGCATTCTTGACATCGGGTTTTCCAGCCATGTGGTTCTTAAACAGCTTCGACATGTCTTCTATCTTGGCGTTCGCAGCGAGATTCTTTGCGTTATCCGTCAGATTCTTGAACATCATCTACAAGAAACAAGAATCACAAATTATAACACATATGTCGCTTAATAATACTTCTACCAATTTTTTTCAAATAAATTTAATTATAACACGTACGCTCTTATCCGTCATAGGTGGCAAAACGACGGTCTTTTCTAAAATTCTCATGACTATCTTCCACAATTCTTTCAATAGTCTCTTCAATACCGTTTTCTCGCACGATTCAGCGTATAGAGATAGGCTACCGTCGAGTAGAACCATGAGTGGCCTCAAAACGTCGTCGGCCTCCGCGTTTACGTTGTTTCTTTGCGCTGGCTGCGACAGGGTTACCTGTCCTCCGCCTTTGATAGCCAACAAAAGATCTCCTAGCTCCCTGACGGAAACTGTTATTCGCGGTTCCAAACTGTTCGCGAATAGTATAGCCAAATCATCCAGAGCGCTGTTCAGTTGTTGTTGCAGCTCTTTCAATATGTTCGCCGCGTCCTCCTCGAGCTTGTCGCCACCCATCGACTCGAACATCTTTTCTAATTGCACCCGAAGTTGTTGGATGTTGTTCATTAAAATGCACGCCTGTGGAATAAAAGAATTTGTAATAAAGTCTGTCAGTAACTTTGCGCGAATTTTTGTAAATTTTGTCCCTCTCGGGCACGTACAATTCGTTCCTCCTTCAGATGGCTGGGGAATTCCTTCTTCACTATATCCGCGTAAGCCACCAAAACTTTGACGATGGTCTTCGCGAATCTCTTCATATATCTCTTCCAGATCTCCGGGTCCGGACATTCCAGCTTCGACACCACGTCGAAGCACTGCGTCAGCTGTGTGAAAACATCGACGACGGAGACGCTGAAAAGCACATGCTCGCTGCTCTTCTGGAACTGTAAGAAAAGATTGAAGAACCACATTAGAGAACGCTGCTGCATCGCCGTATCGAGACTCGTGGATAAAATCATGGCATATCACTTACGCCTTCCTTTTTATCTCTACTAAAGGCACCGTGGAGATATTCTAATGAGACGTCATCGTTTTCATTGAGCCATTGCATGACGAAAGGCTCGAACCAGGCCGGGTATTCTGGTACGGCGCCCTTGTATGGCGGCACGTCTTTGACGTAATTGGCGTGCAGCCACTTGACTTTGAAGTGCAGATTCATATAGGCCGAGGACTTGCACAGTCTATGCTGCTCGTGCTCCTCCAGGGCGTACTTCATGTCCACCGCGAACAAGGACCACATCGTGGCCGCCGACAGTTGACCGATGTTGAACTCCTGAGGGAATTGATTTAACACGGGCGCATAGCTGTTCTTGTCCTCCTCGATCACCGAGACTATCAGGGCGATCAGCTTGTGCCAGAAGTCGAGCGAGTCGAGCCGCGGCCCATGATCGTCCGAATCCCGTTTTGCCTCGTTCGGATCCGCCTGGAACTCTCGATTGTACAAATCGTAACAGTTCTCGAAGAGGAACTGGTAGGTCGATCGCAGGCACGCCTTCACGCAGTCCTTCACGACGGTGCTGGCCCGCGGCGGGCTCGACAGTTCCTGGACCTTCATACGGAAGAACGTAATGCTCGTCAGCAGGTCCACGGTGCTCTTCAGGTCCATCAGCTTCTCCTGAGTCGAGGCCGGGAAGTTGTTCCTGTACATCGACAGGTCGATCCTGAGGGAGTTGTGCAGCTGATCCAGTAGCTTGACGAATTTTTCTTTCTATAACGAGAATCGTCTACTTAGTTTCTTTCATCAGTAATGGTGTAGTTGCGGTAAGGTTTCCTTTTTGAGAAAATACGCTACGATAAGTACGTCGACTTTTTTTATTTTACCGCGGAAATTTTTTTACCGATGTAATATCTATATGTTTCGCTAAGAGAGTCCCTCGAATTTTTTCCTCTTTTAATTTTTAGCCGAATTTCTTCGTGCTCGGAAAGTTTCGCGTAATATTTTCGAAGAGAAATATCATGCATAATTCAAAACTATGAGAAACACATACTCTCTCGTACACCAGTTCTCTTCCGGAATTAAGAGATTTATGAATTTAAATTTTGCACGAAATTTCGATTTACATATCGTTCGCTGTTTTATGGGAGAGAACGTCGATTTGTAGAGGTATGTGAAAAGAATTTCCATATTCCCCGCGCGGCGGAAAAATCCATTCGCTCGGCCTTGGCTGCCAGTCAGTTAAACTACAGATGGTGGAAAAAGAACGCGGTCAAAGAGAATCTTAATTAAAATCTTAATTAAGTGGCGTGCATACGGTCTTTCCGCTGTTTTTTCTCTTTTGTTCAAGAAAAAGTTATACGCTAAGAAAGAAATAAAAAATGCAATCATAAACACGGCGCGACCTTGCCACTCTTTAATACAGGCATGGTTTCGTGACTCGACAGGTTTCGGGACCGAATGTAAGCATCTCTCGCTTAGACTTTATTGTCTTTTAAAATCAATACGGCTAAAAGTCAAGTTACTGATTCTTGGAAGAAATCCACTCTAATCCGCTAAATGACCAATTCGCCAAGAGTCAGGCTTTATTCAAAGCGCCTCGATGCCGGCAGAGACTTTGCTTAATCCCTCTCGAAAGTTTGTGAAGTAATTATTTAACCAACGTTATATATATATATATATTCGCGTCGGCTGATCCCTTTATTCCTGGTGACCTGGTGAGAACGGAATTGACGGAGGATCAGGTGAAAGGCGCGTCTTTGCGTCAAGTCAACGCGTGACCGTCTAGGTGTTTAGGATATGAGAAGTAGCTCGGGATAAGGGATAGCGCCGGTTGCCAGGAAATTGCACGAGTATTTCTCGCCGTCGGGTACCATTACAGCCTTCGCCATCCCTCACACCTCTACTGCGCGCGCGGCGGAGATACCGCGGCGCAATCTTCAACATCCGGCACTTACCCCGAAGTTACTGGCGGCAAATCTATCACTGGCCGACACGGCCGGACTGGCGGTCGTGTGGGCGTAGTACGCGTTTATGTTTGCCAGGAGGGTCGACATAACGGCCGGCACGCCTGGACACAGGTACTTGGTTGAGAGGCAGTGGAAGTGCCTGGAAAATACGATATCACGATTGTATCGAAAAATCATTCGTTTTGATTCTCTCTATTGCGTCAGAGCGCTCATCGCAGTTTATTTTAATCTGAAATACGTGATTTTAACTTTTATTCCGCTTATTTCGATTTCAATTTTAATAAATATTGTCTTGTTATAGCAAAAACCAATAGTCGTTAATTGATTAATGGCCAATTGCGAATATGTGGCTTAAATGATACTCACGTCATCGCCTGGTAGATGCTCTCGATGCCGTAACGCATGGCGAATTCGTCGACGAGCTCTTCGCCGGGAGGATCGAAATAGAGCTTCCAATCGTCGTCGCCCTTGTTCTGAGGAGGAGGCAAGATCACCATGCCGCCGTTCTCTTCGCACAGACTGTGAAAGAGATTCTCGTGCAGACAAGTGTACTGCACGTGGTAAGGTGCCACCTTCTCCTCGCCCTTGATCTCGACGCTAATGTGCAGTCGAATGGCGCCCGACACTGCGCTCTTGTCCGTCCTCTTCTCCAGGTTGTACCAGACGTCCATCTCGCCGCTGAGAGTCCGTACCTCGATGATGGTCTGCCCAAGAAAGTCGTCGCTCTCCCTCGTCAGTTTTTGCCTCAGCTTCGACTTCAGGTCGTTGTCCTCGTCCCACACCCGAACTTTGATCCGATCGGACGAATTGTGGCACTCGCTGCGAACAGGAATTTGTGGTTTTTACGACGTCTATCGTAATGCACTTTAAATCACGCTCTTCCTGAGACCAGATTGAATTTTCTTCCAGCGATCTTAAGCGACTGATAATTTATCGACGAAAATGTACGCTAATGTAATTTTAACAATGGAGAAGTAAACATGTAAATATGTGCGAGCAAACAATTTGACGTCATCGCTTGTGAAAACGAGAATTCACAGTCAGCAAGATTGAGAGCGGAGAGAATTACGCATTTTGCTGGCGTAGCAGAGAGAAACTTATCGAAATTACTTACAAGTAGAACTTTTCGTGCCAGACTGGATTTAGTTCCCGCGGCATGGTCCTCGTGCGTTTCTTTACTTTGCCAACTTGGACCGTCACGTAGGGATCGGATGTGCCGCTCTTATCTTTGGCGATTAATCCCTGAGCGCTGATCACTAAGGACGGAAGAATACAATTAGGAGACCGTTCGTCAGGCTAATGCCTAAAGGTAATGCCATAGAATTCCAGATGAAACAGACTGAGCGCGAAGAATTTAATTCCCGCGGGCGTAAATTTCTAATCTTGCGGTGTACATAATTCGATTACCGCGGGACAATACCGCCGAATGAAAACATTACCGAAGTTTTGCCAGCTGGCCAGTATCCAAGAACGCGACTGCGAGAGTTAATCCAATAGAGCTAACAGAACCGGATATCCGTCGGAACATATGTTCGCACCGCGCTGGTGAAAAAAAAAGTTTGCCCTGAACCCGCACATTCCACTTTCAATCGCACGATTGCGTCGCGATGAAATGGCATACGTGGAACAATATCCGCGTGTCTTTATCATATTTCTTCCTCGTATAATCGGGCAAATAAAACGGGCGAGCGATAAAACCGTCGCGTAGAATCTCGATTCGCGACTCGCGCCCCGACGAACTTAAACGGTACCTTCTTACGCGATAAGCCAACTGAAATTATACGAACTATCCTGCGGGCCCGTCGCATCGTTCGGTAGATCGTCGTTTCGAGTCGACGGGGTAGCTGGACGATCGGTCACAAACGCGTGGTTACGACTTTCAAAACCGAGGCTGCACGTTCCCCGAAGCGATAAAGTTTTACTGTCCCGTCCCGATTCTGATTTGGCGACGTATTTTATGCACATCCTCCGTCGGCGTTAGCCCGCATTTACGCCACGACGATTTCACGTTTATTACTTATGACAGATATAATCCGCGCCGTATCGTTGGAGTTGCTCTACTTTGACAGTGACTAATAAGGCAAAGTAATGTAAAGATTTTATGCCGTTAATTTATGTTAATCACAGGATTTTCTCCACTCTTGGAGAAAATAGAAGAAAATAGAAACTCGTGTTTTCCTGAACGCGACAATATATGAATCTACGAATTGCTTCCATTTTTTTCGCTATCGTCAATTTGATTTTTGCGCTTACGATAAACAGACAGCGGACTATTTGGAAGAAGTCTTTTCGCGGATGTTTCATATTCATCTATTCGCACGTGCGCGTCGGCCGAATGAATAAATATGACTCTGCTTTATGTGAGAATTTAATTAAAAACAGGTAGTTTGAAAACAGGTAGCGAGTCCCGCAGGGCTTTTATCTCGAAATATTCGAGGAATTGAGAAGAGCTGATGCTTCCCCATTGTATCTTTTCCGTTATTAAATTCGTTAGGTGTTTTTTTTTTGCGAAACTCTTCAGATTTAAAACAATCAACTTTATTCCCCGAGGGTGAGAGGAACTTGCGGCGTATTTCAATTTTTAAACGGAAGAACTATTACCCGTACGTACACGAACGAGTGGCAAATCAATAAACGTAGATAAGTCAATTCACGATTGGCATTTTTCAATGGCAAAATGGCGTGAAATATTCTCTTTTTATCCGTGTCATCATAGTTACAAATAATTATATACGTCGTGTGTGAGAAGATGCATGCAAAGGCTCAACATCCATCCGATTTGGACATACGATATCCATTGTAGGCAGCCATCGTAAAAGCGTGCAAAAGCTTGGCTTGGATCACGTACATATATATCATATAATAACGTACGTATATAAGGATACATACGTATACGTCCACATACATATATAAGGCATATATGTGACAACATAAAAGGAATATTTAAAACATATAAATATATATATATATATATATATATTTGGGTGTGTGTGTGTGTGCGTGTGTGGTATCATATATCAAATAACGTGCTTCGGTTTGGATCGACGGACAGACACACATGCCCATGCTACTAACTCTTTCTGATTCGCACCGCCGATTGCAGTGGGGACGATCGTCGATGCTTCCTGCCCTCGATGAATGTCGATTTCATACCTAATCTCATTAATCATCAAGTCATCGCCACAATCCACTTGGTGAGAGAGATGTCAAGAGTCTCGGCGCGTACAGGCGCGTCCGTGTATTGTGTGTGTACGTGTGTATATCCACGCATGTGTGTGTGTGAGTGTTAATTTGCGCAGCAGATTGCGTTTTACAACGTCTGCACTCTGTATATAAATGAGCATTGCGCTTCATTAATTTGATAATTAATCCGATGTAAGAATATTATCGCCATATGCGATAATGATTGAGGCAGGTTTATGGATTTGTGCAGCACCGATTTATGCGTTTTGTTGGAGCGCAAGATGGGGAAGAGGTGCCACGCACATAGCGCTCGGCAGATGATGCACGCGATAGAAACTGAGCACTTCATCGCGCATAAAAATTACGAATAAAGCAAATGTGTCGAACATTCGAAAAATCCTCGCTGTTAAACGAAACGATGTAGACGGGGTGAACGCGTTACGCATGTTTTACGCCGTCACGTCGCATTCTGCATGACCCGTTATAACAGAACTCGGCATTTCGAGAATTTAATTTTTAAATATCAAAAACCCGAAATATAACGCTTCGCTGAATTTCACGTATGATTTCGAAAAAGAAAATGTCGGATCGATCGTTGCAACGATTGATCGCGACGCAACATAAATATTGCAGTATTATCATCGTCATCGAACGTGTAATTTGTCGTTTGCGTGCGTTACGAGGTCGATCGTTATCAACGCATATTGATTCTGCGTATTAAGTCGCATACTTACTCCGTACGCAGATCCAATCTCGCGATTGAACACACACTCACACGCCAATTTAACGTGTCGGGCTCACAGCCGTGAGTCGCATTCATTTTTAATTGATCGTACTGCGGCGATGCGTACACATTGCTGGCGATTATGCGCGGTGTCGCGCGCAAAATACACTACGTTTTCTCTGGTTTCTTTTTATTTTATCTCTCTCGCAAAGAGAGATTCTCTCCCGCGGGAATAATACGATCCTTCCCGCGTCTCTCTTCGACGCTCGATTCTCCGGTGCAATCTGCAGCGGTATATCTCGTCAGATCGTAGTCATTTTAATTTGCGCCCAGTGAGTCAGGAGATTTGATTACTGGGGCGGAAGAGGAAGCGGCGCCGACTGTTACCACCTCCGCTCCACCTCTTTCCCCCAATTCGCACTCCCTTATTTCCTTGAATCTCCTCCCTTATTTCGCGGCGGTTAACCCGTTGAGGGCGCACGATCAAAATCAGATTACTCTCCGAAAGCACACGGGGGAACGTCGAAGCATTAAAACCAATAAATATTGAATAGCTCGATCCAGTTTCTCGAATTATTTTGAAGAGAAAATTTTGACCTTTATTTATCTCAATAATGAAAAATAACGCTCGAATCTTCTCGCAAAGATTTATACGATACGTTTCGTAGTTGCAGGTCGATATTGCGTCGCTTCTTTTCCCTCGAATGTAATTCTTTATCAGGACGAAAGTCACGAACAGAGCAGAAATGGTCAAGCCAACGAAGCAAGCAGCCAGTACGCGGTTGACAACCGGCAGTTTCTTGGCGAACTAACTTCGCCCAGAAATTGTCTCAATTTTCTTCCGCTTCTTTTTTTGATTATCCGAAGTCGTTTTCCGCGCCGAGAGTACATAAACGCGCGAAGAAAGAAACGCTCACGACGGAGGAAATAAAAAGCTTAGAAAGGAGGAGAGACGCGCTGTCTAAAACAGACTATTCCGCCGATTTTCATTCCTCTCGTTTCTTTTTTTTATACCGCGTCCTATTTACTTATCTCCCGTTCTCAACGGGATAATCGTAACCTTCCCTTTTTCATACCGCCGTCCTTGCTTTTTCCCTCGCTACTTCCGCTGTTAGCGGTGGACTAGGAAAGCACCGCTATGGATACGTCGGCAGCTTTTGAAAGGCAAAAAAGTTTCGTTGCAGCTCGCCGTGCTCTCTGCTTATCGACTTTCCTCCGCTGGAACACGTTCCGTGGCGCAAATACCGTTCATCCTCTCCTTTATCTTTCCAGCTTGATCGTAAATAATTAAGTACCCCCTATAGTGTCTCTCAGTCTCTTGCATTACGTTAAGTGCGCAAAATGTAGTTTATGGTAAATTTTATGTGCTTTTATGTCATTTGAAATTCGTCCGTGTTCTCCGTCCGCAATTCGCAGCTTTTTGTTCTGCAGCTTCGATTAACGCAGGGTGGAACGATGTGTTAGAACCGTCTTGTTATCGTGCCATTATTGAGGCGTTAGATATATATACGAGCGATGATAAGAGATATGAAAGCGCTCCTGGGCGCGCTCAACCGAAACGTTAAGCCCCTCCTTTGGGATCCACGGCGAGCTTCGGTTATTTAAGACGACCGAGACTGCGAGACGGAGAAAATTTCCTCCGCGCATAAGATTCTCTTCACTCGGATACGCGAATCCCCACAGCAGGAGCGTCGCTGCAGGCGTAGCTCGAAATGGTTTCTTCCATTATCCATTTGCAGGTTTCACCATCGGCAGTGGTCTTAAATGAAAGAAAACAAATCGAATATCCCACTGGATTTTCCTCCTCCGAGTTCTTTTAGCTCCTCGCGTTTTCAGCGAGTTCCTGGCGTATCTCCGACGTTGACGTCCCCGATCGCATTTCGACTGTTTCTCATTATTGGCTGCGAGCCACGTTGATCGGGGACACGTTAGCACACTTTCCTTTTCTCTCTGTGTTACATTTCGGATGCTTGAAATATTAAAGAGACGTGCTGAGAATTGAATTGGCGGAATTCTTGCGACAAAGCGATATAACATTATGCTGGTGAGATTATGACGAGAATTCCGAATACCGCGTTTCCTGAAAAATGGGGATATGCCCGTTCAGTTGTATTCTTTTATGCAATTTCCCAGTAGATAAGAAATATATCTATTCATACATGTATGATGTGAATGGGCTGCGGAGGCTGAGCACAGCTATTACGCTGGTCTGTACGTTGAACTATCGATCTTGGCGAAGAGGAGCGCATATGTATGCAGCTTGCACCGCTCGCGTCTGCCATGTCGTTCGCGACACTACGATTGCAATTCCGATCGGTGAACTATAATTTTCTACGACATACGCTACTTGTAATACCGTATAAAGTTATACGCCCCGGCCGCTTATCATTTTTATTGGCATCTGGACGTTGTAGCAGCGTCGGCGAATTGATAAAAATCGGAAGAAATAAAAGTCGCCGCTGTGTGAACGGGAAAGGGTTGCGTTAGTCGAGAAGGTTTTGGCCATTCCCGAATGGCGTACAAATGGGATAAGTCACCGATGATTATATTTGCCGATTCGACATGTTACCTTGATGTTACGGATCTGGACAAATCGCTTTGTTGGAACGACGTCGTCACGCTTTTCAGTCGACCGACCGGCGTAACTTCAAATTGCTTTAGTTTTCATTGTAACAACAGGAATGCGAAACGAGCATAGCAATATATATCGTCTGACTTTAATATATTTCGAAAGTTTACGCAAGAATGAACAGTAACGTCGGGGAGAGATTCAAGTACGCCCCTCGATCGATTCTCGGGGTTTGACTTCGTGCCGGACGAAGTGCATCGATCGCACAATGTGCATGCCCCGGTGGTGCAATTGGAATGCGAGAACTCGACTGTACGCGGCACAACGCAAAGTGTACCTCATATATATCACGCGCCGTTGCTTATCAACCCGATGGTGCTCTGTGATATAGATCTTTTCGTGTTTGCTTTGAAAGACGAGAGTCGCGCGCGCGCGAATAATGACGATTGAAAAATTGAGATACGTGTGCGTGTGTGCGTGTGTGTGTGTGTGTGAGAGAGACAGAGAGAAAGAGAGACTGTGCTCTTATCAAGAGGCGCGCGCACACAGGATGCATAATACGTTGCTTCTGCTCTTGATTACGGATTGTCGGATGAATTCGCGGCCTGTCTGTTTCGAGGCGAAGTTTCAAACTCATCAGAAAATCTGTAAGCGACAGAGATTACGCAACCGTGAGATGCACCCCGTAACGCGGTGATTTTCGAAACTTTGCTCTCGTGATTCGGTGAAAGAAAATAGTATCACGAAGGAAAGTAAATGGTGATCATTGTTCGCAGAGAGTTTCAAGAAGTTTTCGTGTAAGTGTGTATTTCAAGCGTGTGTGTATGTGTGTGTTCTGTAACGTGGTTACAGAACTGAGTGGTGGCTCATTATCGAGATTGTGGTGAAAGATCGTTAAAACGCTTTCTAAAGTATCAGTATCGTGTCACCTGTGATGGCGATCTTGCAGGACCACTTGCTGGTACCCTCAAGGACGATCTGTTCGGCCTGCTCGAGGCTGTCTATGTGGGTATCCGGGTCGACTGAAAACGTCGTGCTGAAAAGAAGACAATGTCGTCGTCATCGGATCGTCCTTCGACAACCTCTCGTACCCTTCTCCTCTTATCGTCACTTCTCCTCTCATTTTCACGCTTTTTAGAGATTCCTCGGGGAGGAGGATCCTCTCGAGGCGACCAAGAAGTGTACGTCTTACGGAGGCCACCGAAGGACGCGGGATCATCGCGAGGCGGAAAAAATCGTCCGTAATCATCCAACATCATCCAGCAGCAGCGACGGCAGCATATTCAGCAGCTCAGCTATGCTAGCAGGAATACATTCGCGCAGCCAGAATGCTAAAGTATTTTTCCGGGGGTTTTTAGCCTGTATGTATCTCGGTATTTCGTGTATGTGTATGAGTGGGTGTCTCGTGTGAAAGCAAAGCGAGACGTGTGAGTTAGATCCGCGCCTCAATACAGGATGAATTAGCTCTGTCCGCTAGTCCGAGTTTCTCCCCTGTGATCTCCTGTACCTTTTGCGAATTTTGCGCGAGTCGAGCATACGGAATTTGACGGATGAATATGGATGATGGATGTCAATCGGGACTACTCGAATTATAGCTCGACCGGAAGCAACGCGATTGATTTTATTTACATGATAAAAAAGGATTCACGCTGGGATTCACGCTTCGATGTGGAGGAATAATAGATGGATTGAAGCCGAGGAGAGCGAGAACCGCGTCGATCACAATGCCGTACAACGGAACGCCATACCAAGTTCCATCCGAAGTTTCGTTGCAAGTACACGGAAGTATGTGCAAGAGAGACCAATCGATCACGCCGATACGGTAACGAGCGCATTGCCATGCCACCTGTTAATCTCTCGTGGTTGTGGAATTAGCGCTGTTTTATACAGGAAGCTGTTCTTCTGCGAGGGCGCGTCTACCAGCCTAGAATAAGAAACTTGTTGCTCGACTTACATGGCCCACCGCCAACACGAGACTTTCATTGATCTCTAAGTTATGGTCTCTAAATAATCGTTTTACGAAGACGATCAACTATATGAACATCTTTATAAGCGCAACGACCGGGTTACTCGATCAAATTTCCACCTATCTATTAACTCAGAAAAATATAATTTTCTTTTTTTTTTTCATCAAGGAATAACTACAGATATCTTTTACTTGTGTCGAAAGTTTGGTGTCAACATCGAGTTAAAAATTTCTAAAAAAATTGCGAAAATTGGAGCGTAAGTTTGGAGTCAGAAGATAATTTGAGGTAACGTAATTTTTTTGAGAGTAAAAGAGAAAAAGAATGATGAATCGAAATTCTCTTTCAAGTTACGGCGATCAAACAACGTTGAATTATTCTTCACTAAGTATGCTGCGAGGGCTGTGAATGTATTTACATGTCTACCATCCCCGTCGGCACGATAAAACAACGATTGAAAGAAGAAAAGTTTCATCTTCCCTTTGAACCGGAGCCACGATGGTCCTGAAGACGTGTCGTCGCGTGAAATGAAAGCGGCGAGTACAAAGGCGCATGCGAAATATTTCGGTCACCCATTCGGTGGGTACTTTTTCCTCGATCGAGTATTTCTCCTGCACGTGTTTCCAGCAAAACATCTCGCGCGGAAATAGTCCGTGGGAAGGAAATCGATACGCACGACATGTGCCAGTGCGGTTCGTTTACGAGAAGTAAATAAAATGACGCAGACTAACTTGAATGTTTTTTCAATAGGAACGTAACTTTATAAAGGTACATTGAAACAAAGAAACAAAGAAAATGTACCTAGTTTCATTGTGACGTATTGTCTCGCTCTTCCTGCATGCCCGACAAACTTTATCGTCTACAATTTATAATCGTAATTTATTTCCCGAGATAAAGCGTATAGGAAGCGCGAGAGGAAGGACAAATACATTTATCTATCTTTCAACACCTACGTCTTCGTAATAAAATGCAAACCGTTGAGCTAATCCGACATCTATCGAGACGAATTCATTTTCCTTATCTTCGACACGCGAGACCTATATTTCCGCTACTACGGGTTTCGAACCGAGCAGCTAAGCTGACGCGTTCGATCGGGGCGATGATCGATGCCCCGTGACGTTCGACTCTCATCTCGCAGCGAAACGCAACGGAAAAAGAGAACGTGCCCTCGATATACCGAAGATTACAGGTGGTCGGTAGATTGCTTTCGATAGACGTCGCTGTGGTATTGGCCTATTGGTCAGGGACTCGCGTTCATGGAAGCTCGACGGCTATAGCCGGGCCGGGTTTACCTTAGACAATGGCAACGGCACATACTTGCCGCCACAACAAGTTGCCACGTGACCTTAATGGACTTTCGATTGAATTCTCTCGGTGGAGAGGAGCATCGCGTGACGCCCTGACCAGGACGATCGCACGACGCGGGGAGTATGTAGGGGGGAGTATGTACTACATGTAAATATATACATTCACCGTGGAGACCCACATATCTTGATATCGATGCGTAAACAGACACGCGAATGCGGCACTCGAATCAAAAGCGTGCACGGTGACCTGGTTAATGTGATTTCGTTAACGAGAAATAATGAGCGGCCCGTGGATGCGTTTCAAGGATTTCCGGAGATACTTCCACCGAACGGTAGTAATTGAGACGTTGTTTCTGGAGGAAAATTCGCGCGCTCGAGCCGACTGCGAGAGATTTCATTTCGCCGATGGAACACGAAACTCCACTCGTTCCCGGGGAAAAGAGGCTATTGCAAATAGCGCGTTGAGCGCGCGAACGAGGAGAGAACTGTCTGCAAACTCGATTTCGTCGATCTCGTTGAAGCGGACCAGTTGCCACGGCGCGGGCGGAGCAGCGGGGATTGGCGTGAAATTGGAGCGAAGGGAAGTACCCTTTGAAGGTAAAAAGAAGGAAACGTTGCGGGAGGGGGGGGAGAAAGGGGAATCCCAGGTAATGCCCAATTACAAACCGGGGTGTTGTAAACTAACGGTCAGCGCGCTGTATCGGCGTTACATCCAGCGGACAAATGTATTAGATCATAAAAAAAAAAAACGCCAGCACATACACGTAAAACAGCAGCATAGCGTACACGCGCACACATACCATAATCTGCACTGGTTAGGTGGAAATAGTTGCGAGGGTATGTAAGTCAAGGTGTTTCTAAGGAGGGAATGGATGTAGTTCGTCCATCGTGAGAGTACGCTCTTTGTGACGCAGTCAATGTTGAATATAGATATACACTCAGCTTTTAAAGAAGTTAAAGAAAAAAGAGAAAAATATTAAGGCAAAAGCTAAGTTTTAAATGGAAATTTATAGCTCCAACGTGAAGCGGTTCTCCTTTATTATCCACATTATATTGCTCGATGATCGAACGGCTTTACGAACGGAATTACATATGGGAATGGGATTACATGTAGGACAGTGATTGTTACTCAATATCGGTACGGTTTATGGCACAATCAATACAACACAGCTACACGCGCGGCAGCCACCAAGAGCCAATTAATACCGTCAGGTGTAAGTGGCAATAATAACAATAATAAGTATAATGAAGATAAATATTGTGCGTACACGCATTATGTATATGTATACGGCAGGCAACGATGAGACTCGCACTGTACAGATCAAAATACGTATAGGCATACTGCAGCACACACATGTATCATGTATCGGGATGGACACCATACTGATGACACGCTCGTCGCGTGGGGTATACGGAGAGTGCACAAGACCAGTTTAGAAATCGGCGAGCACGAGCTGGCCAACAAACCTGTAATAGCGATCTTCGCCGACCACTTGCTGGTACCGTCCAAAACTGACTGCTCCACCGCCATCATGTGACCCGCGTGCGCCTTTTCGTCGACCCCGAAGACTGACCTAAACTCCGACGAGACTCTCTTTCACATAAGCTGTGCCAACGGCCGCGATCTCGTCCTATCTGCTTCTCTCGTCGTGAAATATATCTTTATATTCCGAGATTACCTTCACCTAAAATCGCCTTTTTGCCGCGAATTTTCAACGGAAGATTATTTCGCTCGCGAAATATTGTCAATCTGCAATAGTGAGTAGAAATTCGAAAAAAGAAGGAAAAAAGGCGCAACGGCGCAAACGGAATTTCAACCGGCACGCGAATTTAGCCATTCTTTTGCAAACGGGTGAAAACTGCGCTCGCTTTTACAGTTAGCGTTCCGTGAAACAGAACACGTTTGCAGGGCTGTTAGCAGCAAATCCCTACGTGACAGCTTGAGAATTCTCTTTGTAGGATCAACTGTTCATTCAGACGGCGCTGTTTCTTGCTAAATTTTTCCGATAATCCCGAATAAAACGAAAACGGCGATAATCGAGCGTTTCGGCAACGGAAATTTTTAGTACGCGTGCCAAACAAAATAATCTTCTGAGGCGACTGGTCATCGATCAAATCGCTGACGAAAGCACGGTATCGGTGTCGGTCATATTTACGTTCGGATACGTCACGATTATATCCTTCAGAGAAGACGAGATCGAGCCTAGTGACGGTAAAGATTTCGTTTTAGCTTCGTTCTCCCTTACAATCTGCCCTGCCTATTACTGTCGCCACTGCATCGCCGTATTCGCGTTTCATTTAATTATAGATTAATCCCAGTCTATTGCCGCTGGGTACAAGCATTCTTAATTGACAACTAATTATTGTCGCCTGGGATATTAAATTAATTTTCAGTAATACATATAACCATATTGCGCGGGGCACGACATTCTGCGTTGCAGTATTTCTTGCAGAAGCGACTGCCGCTTTCCCCGGCACGTAATAACGGTCGCTGCAGCTGTTCCACTAATTTCGCACGTACTAATTACCGACAATCTAAATTACTAATGCTCGGCAAAAATGATAAAAATATCTGCGTGAGTATTAATGCGCACTGATTAATTCATACGTTTACTGATAAAATAATCTTTGCTAATTTCAACGTTTGAAATTTAGATTGAGTTGATTTCAAGTAATTCAGAAAAATAATATTCCCTCCTAAGGCAACTCACTGCTTCATTAAAAACTGTATAAATGTAGTTTGCGCTTCAAAAATCCCTCTAATATGCTAATTACGTGACTAATTGAACAAATATCGATTGGCCGGTTTATCGGCGCGGTTATTGGGCCCCTCGCGATGCAGATCGCGCAAGCGATTATTAATTAACGTTGATTTTCATTAGCCGACTGCCTGCCGAACTGGCTTTTATCGCGATGGCTTTTACGCAATCGTGCTCCACCATGTCTGTCGCGCCGTCGATATTTATAATAGTCGCGATAACAAGCCGATACTAGGGTAATAAGATTGAAATGTGGCGCGAGCAGCGGAGATATCTCGAATAGCTCGCCGCTTAATTAATTATGGCAGATATGCGACGGATTGACGCAAGGTGCGCAAATGCGATTAGACGGTTATTATGACGATGCTGACGTGCCTAAGCCGCGTGTGTTATCCATTTATCATTTACCGCAAATAGACCGGTTATGATACTTGAAAACGATCACTCGTCGCTTGACCTCATTATATTTTCGTAAAAACAAATCAGAATTTATTTGAATAAACATTTAAATTTAATCAGCAATCTCACTGGATTACAGTCGAAATTCAAATAACACACGAAAGATTTTTAGTTTGTGGTCTCTCAGACGTAGTACAATTCAGAGTTCGAACTGAAATAATATCATGAATGTATGTGTACTTGTGTGTCAGTGCCGATTATTGAGCGGACAATATTAATTTGTGAGATTATTTAATTCTGACAGCTTATTTGATTGCATGAAAATAACACGTTTATTGAACGAAGCGGATTTTGCCTTCCCTTTAAATCAATAATATTACGGAAATTATCATATCTCAGTATTACATTATTAAACTAAAATCGTTGGACATGCAGTATTTAACTTAAAATTTACTTAACTTTTAATTAATAAATATATAAATTACATATACAAAAAAAATATAATATACATATATAAAATTTATATCCCGTTTGCTAAATTACTCTGTCACGTAACAATTTTGAGAGATTTGTAGTTAAAATTGCAAAAAGGGCTATTTTAATGTACTTTGGTATATTATAACTACGATATATGACGCGTTGAAGAAGCTTTCTTTCATAAATGCTTTTTGGACAGTTTCGAACAGAAAAATTGAAGAGAATATCGGTCACGTGTATGATATGTTTGCGGTAACGGAAACGGTGCGATGTGAAACGAATACACACAAATTCGCCAAGATAACAAGGAGATAACTTCGAAGTCTGAAACACGAACCGTGTTTGCCGCGCTTATCGTAAGGCATTATTCACGAACATTCACACAATATATGCTACCCCGGGGGTGTGTCGTGACGCATTAATATTCGTCCGAACGATGTTTATACGGCCTTTAACGATTTCCTATGTTTGAGGTCGTGAAATAGATCCGGCTCGGCTGTGGCGATTTATTCGCGGAACAACAATTTGCAATCCGCTCGCGCAAAGGGCGAGACGAGTCTCGGGTGGAGCGGGTTTCAAATGGGTTGTTGCGGCGCGGGCGGACTAATTAATGCACAGTCGGGAATAGCTTTTTATCCATTAAAAGAAAAAGTACAATCACAGGCGACATTAAATACGTCCCTTACGAGACTTTTATTTACAATGCACGAGCCGCGCTATTATTCACTGACGACGAGAACCTGCTGAAAAATGGCGAGCAGTGGTGACAGACGACCAATAAATCGCATCGGGATCGATCGGTGCATCGATCGACACCATTCCTCCTCGAACCGAACTGTCTATTGATCGACAGTACGGTTGTCGTTGGATTGACTTCTGCTGCGAGGAAAAGAAGAAAAGAAAAAAAAAAGAAGCGAGCGCAGAAAGCGGATACTCACCGAATCAACTCGAAGATCTCCGGTTTCTCTCGTTCTCTTTGCTTCATTCTCTCCTTCATCGCCGTGATTATGCTAATCGCCTTATCCTCAGCGCCGTGCTTTGAGCTCTTCTCAGCCGCCCCTATGAGAACGGAATAACGAAATACAGATTATATTCGAGATTCGCATATATTTTGCATATTTTTGTTTAGCCGGGTCACTAAAGATGCATTACCGAACAGATTTTCGGTCAAACGTTTTAAATCTGATTGCTCGTTTACAGATTAATTTTCAATCTTCTCGATGTCATACCGGTATCGATAAAAACGTTTTTATTTCCGGCAGAGAGGAAGTGAGATGGAAACGTGTTTTACACGTAAAGAAGATTTATTACGCGATTCGGTGCGCATGCCGCGCTGTTTTTCAATGCGTCAAACGATAAAACGCTGGCAAAAAAAATCGTGTTTTTCCCCGAGGCAGAATTTTATATATCGTGAAAGTCATAATTCGTATCATCGGTATATAGTGATTGAACAACACCAACACGGGTTTTTTCGTTCTTTAGTATCATCCGAACACGAAGCTGATAATCACCGTGTAAAGATCGGTATTGCGTTGCGCAAAATTACATACAAACTGGAAAATATGACATCGCGTACAGATCGTGATAGATGACCATGCGTTCTGCGTATCACATAATATTCACGTCAATTTTGATTACATATAATCGTTGGACATCAGATAGATTACAGATAGATTACATTAGATGCAAGAACGATGACGCGATAGCGAAACATTTCGCATGCAATTTACCCGGTGTCGATCACGTTTCAAATTTTCGCACGAAGGTATACGCATCGAAGCTGCTTTCCGTAGCTATCGATATCGGTAATTTTAATTATTATTACACTGGAAATCCTGTTGCACAGCCGGATAGCGGTTGTACGGCGAAGGAAAGGGAAGTAAGGATAAACGATAGTACAGGACGTGACGCAAAACACCCGGTACATTGGAATTACAACGGACAGCAGCGGATGAGGGAGAATTAATTGAGAACGGAATTACGAGGCAAACCGTCGTGCGGCGAATCAGAGGTGGAGAGGCTGTAAATTAATCGTGGACTGTCCGATCAAGGAAAGAAACTTTATCGGGGACAGAGCCAGAGGGGAAAGGAGTGAGAATCATTAGTCTGGGAGTGCTAGTACGAATCGATAGCGAATGGTATCCAGGCGAGAGGGACATCTATAGAGAACGCAAAGATCACTGGAATCAAATTGAAAGTCTGATGGACGGGCCGACGCGACGTTAAAAGTGTCATTACTTCCCGATTTCCGAACATTGGAGATTGGTTTATAAAATTCGCCGCGTCGTTGCGGATACTTTTATCGGGGCAAAATGCGAAAATGGCTTCGCAAGCGTATTGCGCTTACGTAAAAATGATTTTTCCGCGCGATGGCCAATCCGTGAAATTCAATTGCGCGGTTTGACAATCGTTTGGTTATCCCCGTTACGGATCGATTTTATACGGAATACAAGAATAATATCCGTTTATTGACAAGACACCGGTCGACGACGGAAATAGCACTAGTATAAATTGCAAAAAGCAACGAACGGAGGTCGAATCGTCTTACACGGCAAATTAATAATTAATTCGCGTGAGTAGCGACAGCAAAGACAGAAAATAGTAATTTAAACTGCTGCATTTATGTCTGCTCAGACTTATTCATTCGCTCTAATTTCTGTTTAACGAATTGCGAAACTTTTTCTCGATTTCGCTTGATTCTTGTTACTCCGTCGAGGGACAATCGATTTTATTATTGCCCAGTCGTTAATAAATAAGCCCGAAGTTTTTAATTACGCTGAAAAAAAGGGTAATTTTGTTGTAATCTCGGCGTTTCCGAATCTTCAAAACACATTTGTAATTTCCGCCGACAAATCCCCAATGTGTGATCATGACAATTATCAATTTCGAGATCCTTTAATTAATAATGCCAATTAACCGAAGTGAAATAAACGATTAATTCTACATATTGTCTTCCGCGATAATATAATATTTCGTGAGCACGGAAATTGCGCTTGGAAAGCAAAATATAGATTGACGTTACTCACTCTGCAAGCAATCGGCGTTTAGGAGGTCCTTGCACTTTTCGTGACATTTGACACCGCACTCCATACATCGAACTCCCTGTCGAGCAATGCCCCAGAGAAGACCCTCGCACTCGTAGCAGTACGTCGGCGACGTGGCCGTCCAAGTGACGAAGTTGTGAGGAGTGGTCGATGATATAGGGTAGATCATCGCTTGCAGAGTTTTCTTGTACACGTGCATCTTCTGCGGGTGTTTCATGATGCGATTGCATCGCCGTTACATTAAGAAATAAGGAGAAAGAGAGAAAGACAAGTCGGAAAGGAGATAGGTAGGCGTTTTATGTAAACATTCGTTTTTCTACTACTCGGTTCTCCATTCGTAAAGGTTTACGACTTTTGAGTGATTTAAACGATTCGTTGGACATTATCGTGAATTGCTAATCCTTTGAAGAGTCGGTGCTTTCTGACACGCTCAAAATTTCCAATGTTGCGGCATGTTTTACATTGTTTATCGAACTTTAAAGATTGTTCCGCGAACATTCTGTTTGTCGCGAATAGAGGAGAAATACCGTGAATTCCTGATGTTCACAGCGGATGAAACGCTGTGACCGTCGCGGTCGTGTCTCCATTAACGTGTTATAAAATTCTATTACCCGTGTGTGAACAATCGATCGAACAATTGTGCAATAATAGATCGGAAATTATATTAGCGGGGCTATTTCTAATTGAAGAAATGAGACAGTTTTTATCATGACCTTTTAAGAGAGCAATTTTGTTAATTTATTACTTGCTTCGCGTTACTCCCTTGTCGATCTTCAAAGTACATTTTCTGCAATGTAAAATTTGCGTTTCAAATTATAACCGGAATACCGAAGGATTAGCATTTTGTCCGTTTTTTTTTGTCCGTTCGATCTCTCTCGCAAAAACTCCCTCATGGATTCAGTTATTAACCGAAGTGCCTTTGTGGGTTCTAGTTACATAATCATGTGCACGCAAACCATATAGGTTTCACGAAGGAAAGCCCGTGTATGGTTCCGATAAAGGCGAATTGGATGCGCCAAGAAACTGTTTTAGGTTTCTATTTGCACGTGCCTCTCGAAAACAGAATGACTCTCCCGTCGTTCTGGTTTTAGATTTTCCAAGAGCACCTCTATATCGATTTTCTTTCTCTTCGGGGTATCTTTTTTCCATGCTTGTGGGATAGGATTACCTAAGAGAGATTCGCGAGCACACGTACGCGAGCTTCTCGATTCTAAGGGGATCATCACGTTTCATATCGGACATCTGGAATTTTCACGCTTTATCTCGTTTTGCGACTTACTCGAAAATACATTTTTTTTTTCTTGCAAAGTCCTGTACGCGGACAAGTTTTAGAGCGAGCGACATTTTCTGGATATCGGTAGACTATCTAGCGAGAGAAGAAGGATATAAATGCATCGATCCGCTAAGCACATGGTACTAACGTGTGAACTTGGGATGTTCCTCGGTGCATGAATTTTTCAAATTCCGTATATCTTCATCCCGACGTAAGAACGTATATGTGCGCGAATGGCTGAATTACCTTTCAACGAATTACTTCGATATCTTTCAGACGATCGGCAATGTCGAAAGCATTTTTCAATTCAAACTTTTTCGCGTTTGTTAGCAAAGCCTGCGAGTACCTAAATCGTACGCCTAACGAACTGTGCAGTATAATTAAATTGCAACTTCATATCAACTTGTTACACTCGGTAACTTTTCACAGTAACTCGGGGTGTTTTAATAAATCACATATCTGAGAAGAGCTTCGATATTTCGTTATCGAATATTGCGCGCGTGTCAAAGTGATCTGGAAAGGACACCTAGGTATTCGATATACGAGGAACATCCAACGTCACAGAAATCGGAAACTCCTAGCACTAGCCTAGCTATTTCTCTCTGATACGGTATCCCGCGTCGTGATACCTCTATGTAGACTATGTAGGCTCTTCTATGGACGTCCTGTATATGTACGCGTGGTCCGACCACTATTTTCTCACCTAATGCATACATATGCATGTATTTCTTCGGCACGTACGCGATGCGTATCGCATATCACGACCCTAGCCGCTAATGTATTTTACACTAGGTCGCTACGTGTTGCTTCAAAGTAACACGGTGCGAGAAGAGTGATCAAATAGAAAATAAGGAGATTCAGAACAAAAACAGGCTAGATCGCACACTTACGTGAAAGAAAATAGCGTGGCAATGAGGATAAAATGCAGCACGTTTCGTATGAAAAGAAAAGAGAGTCCAACGGTTAAGTTAAACTCCTTCGGCGCCGGTCTTTCACCGGTATTGAAGCTTAAAATTAAATGATGTACGATCTAATTCCTCCCTAACGCCTGTCTCCGTATTTCTTCTGATATTACTTTCCGCCTTAATATCTCGGTCTCACAAGCTAGAAGCTAAACGTCCTTTTCTACTTTCGCTTTTAGAACTTTGCTTTCAAAACTTTTCCCTCATCCCTTATCCATTGCGCAAAGGTTTCCGAATGGAGTACGTCACGTAGAAAGAAAGTAATTAAGCTTCGCTTTGTGATTTATGTGGCACTAATTAATGCGGTATATCGCATCATCCAGTGGCAACCTTGAAAAATGTTGCTGCGGAAGAGAGCTTAGTCGTTATTTCACTTGTAGAGAGAACTTAAATATCAGCAGGATGACGCGGTGGTAGCTAACTCTTCTCTTTCAGAGCAAGCATGGTTCTCTCGGTTCGTGAACTGGTGACGCGATGACAAAGTATAATGACTAAAGGGCAAGTCCTTACCAGCTCTTCGTCGTTCAGCGTCGCTCGAGGTACGGCGGATGTGAGACCAGCGTTCCTCTTCGTCGCTGCCATGGTCTGAGAAAAGATAAGAATTAATGTGCATCTGATAATGGAATAATAATGCCTGGTATCTTCCAGTCTCTCTATCGCATAAATGATAGTCCTGGGACTGAAAAAACTGAAAGGAAGAGAGAAAAAGAGATAGAGATAGAGAAAAATAGAAAGAAAAATATTAAAGAAAAGCATTAATAAAATAAATCGAGAGACGTGAAGAGACGTATGTAAATAAATATGGAAACACGAAGAAAAATTCTTCGAAAAGTGTTATTTACAGATATTTTTCGACATCGAGATAAAAAAACGTGGCTGTTTACGAGTCACAATAAAAATAACGTTACAACGACATGGAAACGTTTCTTAGAACGACGAGAAAAACTCCAATAACGATGGTGACAAGATATATATATCTCGAAATATTTAATATTAATCAATCAAATGTGAGTACATTTCCAAAGGAAGCAACTTAACATCGAGATTAAATTGCAACTGCCGTAGTAATGTAAAAACTTGCGAGATAGAAATAAATCCAAAGCCGAAGGGAAATCTTGTGACGTAAAAGTCTTGTGACGTAAAAGAAGCGGTGATATTACATGCCAAGTGAAATATCGATAAAGTTAAATTTTTATTTACAAGTTTTATGAAGTGAGTATAAGTGTGAGTTATGTATACACATCGAACGCTTGTAAAAAATTGTGCTGAGAGATTGTTTCGCAGATGTTATGGAAAGCGCTTTCCTTAGTACTCCATATTTAATACACAGTAGTAATTTTATGTAACCGGACTTTGACATTTACATATCTCGACAAACACACGCGTTTCTGAAATGCTGAAAATTTAACAAGTATCTACTGACCGCGCGTTTGAGCATACTGTATGACGAAACGTCAGAGCAGCGTATTTACTCGTGCAAACGTTTGTGGATTAATATAATATCTGTCCGATTATCTTTGCGCGTAGTCGCGTGCATGGAGAAAATTAATGCAGCGACGGTCAACAAACAAGATTGCAAGTATTAAAACTGGTAGTAAGATCCAACTCGATGGTCTGGATTATATGCTACCGTATACCGAGACCCATGGCGGAAATTGTACTGAAGGCTAATCAAAGGCCTGAACCCTGTTTAATAAGGTCGAGTGCAGTTTCAACGTGGCGTAGATTTGCATATACGATTGGTAACGTATATACATATGTGTGTACTGTATCTAATATCGAAATTAGAACGAAGACAGCGATAGTGAGAAGGTGAAAGGCAAGAATCAAGAAGCGAATTAAGCGGAAATCCTAGGAGATATGTAAATCAGTTGGTAGAAGACGAGAGTGAGAGAGAGAGAGACAAAGAGTGTGAAAGAGAGAAATAGAGATAGAGCGTGGGTGAATCTCTACGGAGAAAAAAAAATCTAATCTAATTAGCTTATAGACGTCTGGTAGGTATGGTGTGCGATAGGATTTGTGGTTAGCATAGATTTTAATTAAGATATTATACACGGAGCCCCGCGAACCGTGCACGCGCCATTGTTTGACAATCGGGCATTTAATACCGTACATGCTAATATCACTTTTATCGGCCGTAATCCACGTATGCCGACGCGACATTGTTTTTCTAACGCGTTCCTCGATCGGACGAGGGATGCTGCGACGCGGCACGGGAGGAGGAGCACCGAGGCAATTTAATTCTGTCTTGTGTGAGAATTCCGCGCGATATCATTTTTCTTAACGATGTTATCGGGTCATCTCCTTCGCTTCGCTTTTCTCGTTTCCTCTCGTCGAGAGGTAGAAACGAAGGAGTGAGAGGAAGAGAATCGGCGAATCAAAGAAAACTTCCGTTAAAACGTTTAAATTTCCTGATCGAAACTTACGACTACATGTGATATTTTTATAACTATTCGTAACACGTATCTATAGCTACCAAGACACTCATGCGATATATTGATGCTCGAACATTTCTGCATGCAGGCGAGAGACATTATAACTGTTATAAGATAAAACAAAATTAATTGTTTTTTTAATCGATAGATTGGAAATCACTCAATGATCACATAGATCAAATTTGAATGCACGCGAAACAGATGATTATACGAGAAAAGTTCCTTCGGATCGTTAGATCGCACATCCGCGTCGTGCTTCATTTTTATTGATGTCCTAATTGAAGTAACCGTACATTCGCATGCGAAACACGAAGTTACGAGTAAGCCATCAAAAAAAGCACAATGACAATGCGTCTCGTTAAAGTATAAACATCTCTTGTCTCTCCGACTACACGTACCGCGTTTAATTTAACGAGTCGCTGGAGACTTAATATGCTGTTTTCTCGCATTCGATATTTTATACGCGGGAGATAGAAATTGCGTGTTTCGCAGATAACGAAATTACTCCGGTATCTATTTACTAACGAGTCGGTACACATGTAACAGTGTTATATTAAATTAGAGATGTAATCAAGAAGTTTCTACACCGCTGACTCTATTCCATCGAGAAGTTCGCGACTTTCAACGATTCGCAGCGAGGAAAGCATGCACATTCCCTTTACAGCAAGTAATCAGCAGAAAAAAAGACGTCGTAACGAATTAGAAAAGAAAAAAAAACAGCCGAGAGCAAGTAACTTAACAGAGAAATGTAAATCGCGTAGAACAAACGAAGGAATGTAAATCAAAGAAAAAGTAACAGTATACACAGCTAGTGAGAATAAAGACGAATTAAAAATTTACATGCAAACATTCGAACAAGCTTTTAATTGACTTGGCTAAGGAGGCATTTAATTTGTACCTTCAAGACCTGGAGGTAGAGTTTTTGAGATTTTTTGAGAGGTTTTTTTCAGTGAGTGGTTTTGTTTTTTTTCAGGTGTTCAGGTGGATACAACAACGGGCGCCACAGAGAACAAACAAAGAAAATAGCATTATATGCCGATTAGTACGTGTATCACTTGCAATTCCTTCTTTTTTTTTTTTGTTAAATTACGATATAGATATAGATGTTTTAAAAGTTAGACACAAGAGAGGCACAAAGACGATGTTAACGGATTGTTAATTAGGATTGATTCATCACGAAGAGATAATTGCGTGATATAAAAACATGAAAAATAATGTAATTTTCTTGCAATCAAGATGTTACATCAAGTTTCGACAATGACAAATACTTTGTAATTTTAGAAATTTATATCTCCGTGGTGAATTTAAACGACCGAAATTACTAGGCGATAATCGCGTTTTACACGTGGTCAGTCAATTTCGCTCGTTCGACGACCGATGCAGGCGATGCGTGGTTCGCCAATGCTATTGCAATTTTTTCTGGCGAATAACGCAAACGTTTTTGCGGTTATGACCCAGTAATCTTTTCACGCTTTTTGTGGACTTGGCTAGGACATTTTTATTCATGTGACGATACCGCATGAAAATATACTTCACGTCGCGAGACTTCAGGATTTCAGGGTTAGATGAGATATGCACAACAATTATATGTAAACCGTTAACATTAAACAGGGAGACAAACATACAGGAAGACAGACATCGGATACCGGGATCTAAAGGTGATCGAGGATATCTATATTCGGGACCGGAGTGCAATGCTACCTGCAAGAGGAAGGGTAGAATTGGTGAATCTTTTTTTTTTTTTTACACTGAATTCATAGGAAAATGTAATCAAGGTACTTAAGTAATCTCTCGAGTCTACAATTTTCAAAATGGGACGCGTTAAATGTATCATACGGATTAACTGAAAAATCTAATTTTCTATTATTTTGCTCTGATGAAAATTACATTTTGCTGCCAACGCTTCACTTTCCCAGTGTTAAATTAAATCACGTTTTCCGCGACACACTTATCCCTGCTAGGCGCTTTTCTCCGGAGCGCGATCGATAAACTACTTAAGAATTTCATTTAAAGCATCACGCACTAGTTGCACACGCGAGCCTTTTACCCTGCAATGGCATCCATGACGTAGACAAGACATATTTATTATGGTTTCGAGCACGTGCGTCACTCTTCTTTGAGTGATCGTTTACCGATCACAGGTGACCCCTGTGCATACATGTGAATCAGATATATGAGATTTACAGTTTAACGCCGATTCCGAACGGCTTTCTATACAGAAAGGTTTTCCCGGGAAAAACGCGCGTCATTATCGTGTATACAATAATCGAGCTGCAGCAAGCGTGCAGAATATATCTCCGCGCTTTATAAACTACTCATCGCTTTATACTTCTTCTTTCTCTTCTTTTTTAAATAAAATTCGATTGGCTATTTTTACCAATTTATTGGTTGAAAAACACAATCGCGGAGTGATTTACTTAAAAGGGTTTGCGATTACTTGTCTTTATTCCGTACACTGTTTATACGGCCAGCGGAATAAATCGTTGCGAATATATCGATGACTAATCCGAATTTCAAATCGCGAGTTTCCTAGTATTTTCGATCGACCGATTGAAGATAAAGGCACGAGTATACGAGCCGCATCAGCGAATTGCGAATTTAAAGTCTGCGGGAATGCTTTGATCGATTTGCTTAATCGTCATTGGCGCGATTATATTTGTTAAGTTTTGTTGAAATAATAATTGAAACCTCTCAGCCGTATTATTCATATTTGACGAATAAATGAATTTTATTTTATTCACTTGCATATTCACGGATATATTTAGGACATTAATGGGTAGCGTAATTATCGGACTATAAAACGTAATGTCTTTTTTATTTGGGAATTTCAGGGGAAAAAAGGGAATGATACGTGAGAGGAAATATTTCGTTAAATTTGCTCGTTGGCGCTTTGCGATGGCTTTTAGAAAAATTAGCGATTTGATTCGTCGCAGAAAACGACGTAACACTGAAACGTAAAACACGCAATTAGGTCACGACGAGATACACGTTTGTTACGAACCGCATCGGAAGATCTTCCGCATCGTCTTGAAATTTAAAGGGAAATGTCTTTCATGTCTTTTAATTTTTTTAGCTTTCGTTTTACGGCAGATCCTCGGATGCGTCGTGCATGATACACAAAATTAGATCTCGCGACGAAGGTATTTTAAGTCATCGTCGTCGCCGTCGTCTCGCGAGATGGAAATGAAATTAGAGAAGAAGCGATGGCTGTTTTGTAATCGAGAGAACGTAGCCGTTGCGTTTCCGCAGCCGTTGGATGACAAACTAATTAAGCTCCAGGTATATAACTTTCAGTTATAATTTTCCGCTGCGTTCACTAATATATTCATAAAAGAAGTTGACAGAGGGAGAGAACACGAAGTTGGTCCTGGCGCAGCTTTTTCCTTGGAAACGCGGCAAGATAAATAGAACCCGAAGCGACGATGTTGCCCGTGGTCGTTGGGTATGTATCAGCAAGCGTATTAGCATAATCGACCGCACGTGCCGCCCGATTGATCGGTTGTCGAATATCGGTTCATATTTTATATGTCACCAATTCGACCCTCGAACCGGCGCATCTCACAAATGGATTTACCACGTTCGCCAATAATATCTCACCCCAGGTTTCCTCATGGCGGTTTTATACGTGTAAACTGGATATGTATAAATATATAAAATATTCCGTGGAAATAATACTATTTAAAAAAGGCATGTTAATTTTAAAAAATTCCTGTGTCTGTACCGCATCGGGGAACTTTTACGATTATAATTTATACGCTGTCGTTCGGTGGGCTCGATCACGTATTTCGCGTGGGCATCGCCAACAGTGTGCACACGCTGCACACATCCGCGGTAATTAATTCTATAGTTCTGTTTCAGTCTGCCGGTGCAAACGTAGAACACAGACTCGCAAAGCGTACCAAAGGGGCCGCGCGTTAAAATTCTAAAATGCCAGCGCGTATCAAGAGATAGCCTCGAGCTAGTTGGGCGAATTAATTAAACTCAGCTGGCCGCATAATCGGCTACGGAGATCGAGAGAGGTCAAATCCGGTGCTGTGCTGCGCGGAAGTGGAGAAGACTGCGTTTTTAAAGCTAGCATTAGAAATAGATCTCAACGACCACGGTCAAAGAAAACGACGACGATGACGACGACATCGATAACGACGGCGACAACAACGAGAACGTTTCGTCGGATCCGATAATTATTTCCGACGAATATATATGTATGGACACGGTCCAGGCAATGTACATATATGTATGTGTGTACACGGTGTACTTATACATATGTATAGATATCGCGGAGACAATGACGGGACGGTGTTAATGGGCAATCGGCTACCTACCAGCTCGGAAACCAATGGTATCGACTTCCGGCGCGGTCGAATGTCCGGCATGCTGTCGATGGTGCTGTAGAAGGGATTGTCGCCTGGATGTCTGGAACAGAAAAGATTTCGGAAACTGCATCAGCACGAGTCTGAGATTGCGTCCATCTCCTGCTTGAACAGTTTGTGCTAAACTTGCAGTTTTATATATATATATATATATATTTAGTTTTATATATTTTTTAATCGTTCTTATTAATACTTATAATCGCGTGCTATTAGTACTTATTATGAGATTATATTTGTTCGAACTATGTTTTGCAAGTATAATTTTTAAATATAAATATAATGAGTTTTAAAAATTTAGATTTCAAGAATCAATTGAAAATTCAAATGTTTGAATAGTATAGATAAAAAAAGAAGTGAGCATCGACAAAGCGTTTGCAAGTTGAATCTAAGATCGATTCCATGTGGATTGGAAATGAACTGAACTTTCAAATCAAACTGCAGGTTTAAGTTAGCCATATAGTTCTAGTCGGGATCTCTTCGTGCAATTCAGGATGTTCGAAAATCTCCTGGAAGCACAATGGAAATTTCGTGCTCGTTAGAAAGTTTTTAGAAAATCCAAGTTTCCGTGAGTTTAAATCTGTTCTTCACTGCATTATCGTAAGAATAAAATTATATTAGGAATTTTTCATCGATTTTCACGCGGTTTTTTTATTCCTGACAAATTATTTATAAGTTTCTATATCTCGAGAAATATCGCGATAAAATGTACGAAATAGGATAAGCCGTAAACTTATTTCACATCAACTTAACGATACATTTTATAATCTGATTTTACAAGAACTCGTTAAAAATGACACGTTAAGTATCTGTCCGATATAATAATCTATAAAATATAGGTAACGCTGTTACACAAAGATTTCGATTTTTAGAAAAATGACAGCAAAAGTATAGCGAGCATCTGGGTTTTCCTAAGATCTAAGAGCCACTTACGTGATTCATTTTTTTTTATATGTCGAATAATGACATCGTGAAATACATTACCACTCATGCGATTCAAAATGGAAATTTATTGGAAATACTGATGTGTAACCGTGAATTGAAAGAAATTTTATCAATGTGTTCATATCCCATCTTCCATTTGACACATAAAAATGACATGTGTTGAATCATCCCTCAAGAAAATCGATCTAGATATTTTTCCGTTTTTTTTTATGTACAAAATTTATTTTTTATACTTCATATTTGATTAAATAAAAATGCGATGAGGAAAAGGAATTACATATACATATTGTGAATTTCATATATTATATAATATTATTATGTGTGGGTGAAGATACCAACAATGACACGGTTTTAAAACTGCAATGATGCTTCGCAGATATATATGAAATCTGTATGCATTTCAAATTGAAATTAATACCGTATGAGTATAATTATAGGATTAAAAGCTTAATTGAGGAAATGACGGAAATGTACTCACCCGTTCGCTCGTCCACCGGATTCGCCGCCCGGTCCGCTGCCGTTCTAACAAACAAAAAAACAAGTTTATTAAAAACAAGCTCGGTAACAGTTCAAAAAACGAAATGGAGGGCGCGCAATGCCGATCTCGTGAACGCAATATGTGGCGCAGGGTTATTTTTTTTTTTCATTTTCGCATAATTACAGTCTTAGATAAAGGACGCGCGGCCACGGAATGACGCGAGCAAGAATAACGATGATACGAGGCGCGATCGATTTTGGAAATTCTCATTCTCTTCGTGCTCAAAGCGACAGATATTCTGCAATAATAACGACTCGGCTTCGGTTGGATATTACAATACCGCAAGATGAATTCTTCTCTTTGATTTCCGTGGCCGCGCGCGCACGCACAATGCTCTGTCTCGTTCTGAATCGTTTTGTTATCTAAGGGAAAAATTACGAATGGAGAAAAATGAGATGGACACAGAGGAAATTGCTAGATGACATGGGGAAACATTATGAAATAGCTGCGTCGATCGGTAGAATAGAGGAAAGGGAGAGGGCTATCATTCGCGCATGATTTTGAAAAACCTCCGTCCCTCCGGTTGCGGAGAGTCGACTTCTTCACCCTTCCTTTCTTCTCCCGACCGCTTGATTTAGATTCAGGACTTCCTTCACCCGGTACCACTGGGGGTCGCTTCGTCCGTCTTCGCACTCGCAGCTGCATTTTCCTCCTCGCCCATCTATTGTTCCTCGCATCGCAAATCTCTCCGTCGATTGCATCGATGTAAACGTACTCTCTGTCTCTGCCTCTCTCTCTCTCTCTCTCTCTCTCTCTCACACACAATCCAACTACGAACCACCACCTTCCGTTTAATCCCTTTCTCGTTCGTCGGACAGGTCGAACCCATTCTCGTCTCGCTTGTCGCCATTAATCAACCTTCGGCCCGCCGGTGACCTCGAAGAAGCACCGGCATTTTGTCGTCTGTCAGCTGGTCGGATTCATGGTTCGATCGTTCGTACGGTGGACTCGCGATAAATTCTGTTGGTCCGAGTTTTCGTGCCTTTACCAGTCCCGAGGTCCTGACCCTCCTCCATACTGGTCCTCTTCGCATCAGGCTCCTCTCGGTCTTAACTGTGGTTCCCGTCATAGTAACGATTTTTCTCAATAAGGATTCGGCTCTCCGAGTCGCGAAAATCTCGAGGACTAATCGATACCTGCCGCCGAAGAGAAAGGGATATATATATGTGTATCAGCAACTGACATGTTGGATGCTGTTCACGCTTCTTTCATTTTCTCGAGCATCTGTCTTTCCCTCTTCCTCCCACCTTCGTTTTTGCTCTCCTGCGCTCTTCGCGTACTAACCCACGTTCGCTCGGCCGCGCGATGAAATGGAAGTTTCGGAGATAGAGTGTGTAACAGCCCGTATAAATATAATATCACGTACAATACGTCGTAAATTCTGTCACGATAGAGATATAATATAAACTTATCGATAGCATAACAAGTGTAATAAGTATTTAGAGTTAGAGCCGCAGGTATTTCGTCCCTTAACGCTGTCTCTTTCTCCCCCACTCTCTCTCGCTACTTCCGCACTCAGTTTCTCTTCTTCATTCTCTCAAATTACAATTTCTCACTCACGTATTTGTCGCTCTTTCACTCTTTTTCTCCCACTCTATCGCTCGTTCTCTCTTTCTTTCAAAAACAGTTTCGCGGAAAGGGGTTCTTTTTTTTCTCTGATCGCTTAAAAAGCTTAGATAACATTGGAGCATAATATTCGTTTCATTTTCACGTTTAATCACGAAATGGTGGCCTTTGAGAGCGTCTCGTTAGACAGAATGCGCAAATAAAGCATGAAGCGTTAATTCTCATTATCGCAATGCGCTCATATATGAATTTGCATTCGTAACGAATTCGTTGGATGAGAACGTTTTAATTGACAGTAAGGATTAACGTTTGGATCGAAAAAGAAATAATTCAAAAATGCTGCGGCAGAAGCGTCATACAATAGTACGACATAAAAATGAAAGAATATATAATCATGTAGCCGTAAAATTTCGTATGAAAGAGGTCACGCAAATAATCTCTATCATCTCACAAAGCGGCAATCGGTTTCGTCGGTGGTCCGAAAATTCACGCTGCACATTTGTGGCGTAAAATGACATTTTCTGCCAGCGAAACGATACGCAGATTAATTATTCATAATGTATATGGAATTTTGCTGCACAACGGCTAATTAGACCTGGTTGACTCATAAATTTTCGCCCCGTAGCGAAATTAGATGCGACATTTCCGATGTTACGTGACATAATTTTTGTCAACATGCGGATATTTGCGCGGTATCGGAATTAATTTATTTATTCCCGATAGACTCGGTGACAGTCGATAAATAATACGGGATGAAAATGTAGATAATACTTGGAGACACGCTCAAAGGCAAGGAAACATACATACAACTCAATAGTAGATACATGTCTATACAGAATATAGTATCGCTTCGCGAATATAATTCTGGCAAGCGTTTACACACAATTAACAACAAAAACCTAACCGCGTATGTAATTGTGTCTGTATGTGTATCTGCATCTGTGTTATCTCATTACTCTCTAACAAGTTTTTCCTTTATCTATTAGGCCTTAACAATGTATTTTGCTTTAATTCGCTTAGACACTAGTCGTCAATTGACGGTGCTATTCGCTAAGTTGATAAGCCTTAAGAAACCTTCGCTGTACTACATCGATCGACGAAGGGGCGAGCACCTTCGCGCCCGCCCCTCCTGTTAATGATATGACATTTAATGAAACGATATCGGATGATATGCAGGTGCGATTTTAAAGGGGCTGCCTACTCGTCGAGACTCTGTGATTTGCGAAATTGAAACGTCGGGGGCAACGTGTAGTTATGTCGAATGATTCTTTCAGTTTTTAGTAGACTGTATGACGTCGAGTATCTCGACAGCCATCGGCTGAAAGCCAGATCGCACTATTTTCACGAGCAAACTGTTCTTCTTGGCATCGAACTGGATCGGGGTCGCGGAAAAATTTATGCGAAACTTCGCCGTCGTCTCGTCCCGACGAGAAGACACACTCACGATAAAGCTCTCCGCTCTGTGATCCGTATCCTGGGTTTTACCCGCGGCCAACGCGTGTACCTCACGAAAATATGTATGAAAGAGAAACTTCTTTTACCGATTTGCGCAAATTATTCCTACGTGTATGTCAACTATATATAGTCGGCAAATGAGATTGTTAGATATTACCAGTTCTATAATATTGCGGTAATTTCTCTCTCGTTTCACCCACTTATCACGTCGTCAATTAATTAGGAAACTCATTATAGAGATACTCTAGGAAAGATCAACATCTAATGCGTGTGATATGTAAATATGTAATACGTGGTGACATGTGTGATTTGAGCGATACGTAATACTTGCAAATATCACTTCGGCATGATATACGTAGTGGACGTTGATGATTTGCAATGATAAAACGTCGGAATTTCGGCAGGCTTTGTAATTTTTGGAATTTAACGGGAATAAAATACGTCATGTGAGAAACGCGACCAGTTCATTTTCGCTTCTGCGTAAAGATTCCGATAATAGCTGGCGTGGCTCACTTACGAATTCAAGGGCAACGCTACGACGAGGAGCCATTAGCCAACGAAAATACTTGAGCATGCGAAACTACGCTTTTATGCGACTCTCAAGGAGAGAGAAAACGTCGCGATTGGAAGTTGATTGTACAGTCGCGTTGCGTATAAAAGTTACGAGTCATTGGAATAGATTTCCCGTGGGTCCCCATATTCGGGAAATGAATGGATCCGATTGTCGCATATGTACGAAAGTGCGCGCATGTCGGTGATTAATGGAAATGGAAATGGGGCAAGTTACAAGGGAAAGCTAATACACCCCTAGGAAGAAGGCTGGTCCAGAAAACGTCCATATACCGTTTACGTATGCATGCGATGTGCACGTGCTTTTGCATAAAAGCCAATTCTGCGCTGTGTCCCGGTACCCCCATCAACCTGCTGAGTACGCGAACAAGTGCATACGCATAAAAAATATACTGTAAGCTGTAAAGTTTAGATTGAAACAATGGAACTTTACGAAGACCGTCGAAATTCCGGATTCCTTACGATATGTATGAATGCAGTCGTGATTTATGAATATGTATGCATTATTATGAGTGATTATAATAATGTTGATTTCGTTATGATATACAAGATAATTATGAATAGACAAATAATTTTATATAATAGAAAATAACTCTAATAGATCGGATTTTCCTGAAAAAGTTCTGCACGCGAATTTCGAAGGATTAACGATAATGTCGATAATTAATTGAATTAATCGATTCCTCGTGAGGTGATACGCGAGTAAATTCCCGTAAGTGTTTCGACGTCAGTCGAAAACTGGAAATGGCCGCAGGTAACCAGAGGCATTTCGCCCGGTGTGTCTATGTATCTAACGTGTGTATATGTGTAACTCTGTGGTATAACATGGACACCGTGTACGTGTAGGTATGCATATGCGATTTCTGCGAATGATATGTCGAGCTGTATGTGTGACGATAATAGCATGGTGTGCGCCTAACTGTGCCAGCGGCCAAGTTGTAGACCCGCGCTGCGTGGCAACCTAATCCCACGTTCGCCTAATCATCCCACAGCTCACCGCGATTTATCTTAAACTTCCGCTTCCGCGCGTGGATACGTATACGTATAGTAATACCCGATTCGCCCGTCGTAAATTATCATTATAGTCCGTATCCGTTGCGTCGCGAGCACCTTTATTGTTGCATCAATAATCTTAATTATAACGGGATATGTATTTGGGATACCCTCTCTCTCTCTCTTGAAATCGCCTCTGTAAATAGGGCGACGTTGTCTGAACACATGTAAGAACACAGAAATATATTCCGCGCAAGAGGAAAGAAAGAAACTAGAAAGACCATCTTATGTGTTAATTTCGGGTCGTAAAAAAAAGTCTTTTTACACGCTCAACAATTTGTTCGCGTCTATTATACATCGAGTCTGCATAATCGTTGCGGACGATGTTGCGCAACATTCG